GCAGAATGACAGCTAATGCATAGTTTTGAATCTAGGCTAGAATTTCTGCTTTGCTGTAGAATATTTATGTGTGTTCAAAGGTTACTTTTTCTCCTTTCTTAGTTTCTTTACTCCCTTCTGTTCTGTCTTTCCATCCTTGCTTAGAATACAAAGATCCTGGGTTTGCTTGCTAACCATATGCTTAGTTCTGAGGATATGACAGCCAATCAGGAATGTGTGCCTTTCCTGGAAAAGCAGTTTGTGGGCCTGGAGAAGGGGATAGTTAAATAGATTTGATTTAATTTTACTGATGTATTGGAGGGAGGAAAATTGAAGATAGTAAGGTCCTGCTTCCTTCCTTCTTTCCTTTCCTTCCCTTCCCTCCCCTTCCCTTCCCTTTCCTTTTCCTTCTTTCCCTTCTTTTCCTTTCCTTTTCCCTTCCCTTTTCTCCTCTTATTCCTTTCTTTTTCCTTTCCCCTTCCCCTTCCCCATCCATTCCCTTCTTTCTCACTTCCTTTCTTTCTTTCAGCCGAAGGACATACTTTATTAGCTTCTGAGTTCTATTTCTCCTCCTGTACAGTTCTGGTTCCATGTAGTCTCCCAGTCTGATGGGCAGCAATGGCACTCACTTTGTGCGCAGCAGGGGCATCTCTTCGTGTAGTGGAGGATTTGCCACTGAGGTGGTTACCACTTCCAAGTGGATTCTCCACAGGATTCATGGCCACATCCCGTATACATGGCCCGCAGTTCCTCTTTGCCTTGTCTTGTGGTAGGCCCAGCCAGCCTTTAAGGTAGGTTGTCAGTTCTGCCCCCCATCAACCACTATACCAACAACAGCTCTGCTGGCCAAGGAAATGACCTTCTTGGATGCCGAAGGCAGCTTTACTCCGGTCCCCTTGGTCTCCAGGTTGTGAGAGATGACTGTGGCATAGTTTAGGGAGGGTCATGCCAGCTTGCCCTTGTCCCCAGGCTTCTCCTCCAGACAACACATGATAGTAGTACCTACCCTCTGGCATGGTGCCCACAGGCAAAACTTTGCCAATATTCAGCTGGGCCTTCTTGCTGCAGTACACAACTGTCCAGTGTGGATTCTCTCTGCAGCGATGAACAGAACAGTTCTGTCTGTTTCTTAAATAGGTAGGGATTACGAAAGACCACTTTCAAGAGGGGAGCGCCATGACCAGGGTCATGAATGATGTCCTTTATGATGCTCTTAATATAGCCATGCTACTCAGAGAAGTCCACAGCACGCATGCCTGCGGCGCCCTTAGGGTATTTCACGTGTGCTTGGAACACAGAACAGGCAAGCATGGCTGAAAAAGAGGGGGTTTTACATTTTTTAAAATAAAGTTTATTAATGTATATTCATTATAAATAGTGATAGATTTTTTCTTTAAAGGTTTATATAAAGCTATAACTAAAACTATTTTACTGCTTCAGATTCACATGTACTTTTAGATTAAACACAGTATTACCTAAACATATCACCATATAAGTTCTGATAGTAGGCTCACAACCAAAAATATAAATAGTATAGATTTTATTAAGATATTTTCATTCCTGTGTACTATGTAATTTGATCTATACCCTCTCCTTTCTTCTGTTTTCTCACTACACACATTCCTTTTCTTATAGCTCCCCTTTGCCTGTCATGTTGTGTGTACGTCTATGTGTGTCCATATATGTGTACGTGTGTGTACAAAAGCTTCACATATAAGAGAAAAAAGGCAATATTTGTCTTCCTCAATCTAGCTTTTTCTTTCTTTCTTTCTTTTTTTTTTGCTTAGTATGATGGCCACCATTAGTGTCAATTTTCATGCAGATAACATAATTTCATTTTTATAATGGAATAAAACTCACACACAAACATATAATATATTTTTATATGAGATATATATATATATATATATATATATATATATATATCACATATTCTTTGTCCATTCATGTGTTGATAGTTCACTGAATGGCTATAGTGAGTAGTGGAGACAATATGATTTTGTTTGTCTTATTTTAATTGTGTGTGTGTGTGTGTGTGTGTGTGTGCGCGCGCGTGCATGTGTGTGCATGTGGGTTTGTGCACATGAGTGCAGGTACCTACAGAGGCTGGAAGAAGGTGTGGGATCTCCTGGAGCTGGAGTTGCAGGAGACCTTGAATTGTTCATTGTGAGTCCACTGCCAGAGCAACAGACACTCTTAACTCAGGAGCTATCTCTCCAGGCCTGAGGCAATAGGTTTTAAACCAAATGTCACCACTGTCCAGTGTGTAGCAACAAAGGCTAGGGCTGCAATATAGTGGTAATGCACAAATAAGAACTCATCTTGGGAAGGATGCTTCCCCAGAACAATTATACATGCTGTAATAAATAAGCAAAGGGAAGAAGTACCAAGTCTAGAAGGGTGCAATTTAGCAAGACAGAATGCTTTATGAATGAGAAGCAGAAATTCTAGTGAAGATGGATACAAGAAAGGTTAAGGCTCAAAATGAGGGTGTGATGTTTCCTGCAGAGGAAAGGTTATGAAAATGAACATGGTAGTCAAATTTGTGCTTCCATGTTAAAATACCTGGAAGTTGTTTTTCATCCTGATTCATGATTTCAGACTTTTTAGTGCATGGCTGATTGGTCCTGTCACATTTAGGCCTGCAGTAAGGCAGTATACTGTGGTTGCGGTGTGGTGGAGAAAGCTGTTCAGTTCATGGCAGCTAGTAAACAGAAAGAGACAGGACTGGGCTGGGATATGAACATTCTTCCTCCCACTAGGCTTAGCCATTTAGTGTTCCCCTGCCCCCAATAAATGCCACAGTCTGATAACCAAGTTTCAACACATGAGCCTTTGGAGACCCTTTATTTAAGTAATAACTCTGAGTGACAACAAGGAGTACTTGGACTAGCAAAATAATGCAAGAAATAGAAGTAACCAAAGAGGTACTAAAGACAATGGTATCCCAGGACTCACAGGTAGGGTAGTTAAAATCATAAATACTTTGTGAGGACTCTGAAAAGAAGATTTGATTGGTAGATGGTAGCTTTAGACAATTGGAGGTACTAAGAAAGGGCCTTACTGACTAAATCAGGTTTTATCACTACTTCCAAGTAACAATGAACTGAAAAAAAAATATCTTATCTATGATATAAATGGTGCTGTCTGGTTCAGAATACTAATTCCTGGCATCAAGTGGATTTGATACAATTCAAGAATTAAATATTTGAGATTGGTTAATTCTCAATTAAGTCTGCAGTATTTATGAGGCTGCACACAACTCCCTAGCAGAACTGATATCTGAGGCTTGCTAGTCAGCCTTTCCACTTTCCTTCTGTCTTATTTTCAGGATTCTTTTGCTCTGAGTGTTTTAGACCAGCATTTTTTCTTTTTTCTTTTTTTATTTGTTTCTTTAGAGTTTTTGTGATTAATGACAACATGTGCTCTCACCCCTCTGATTTATAGATAAAGGAAAGGTTTCTACATCACACTTAGATCAAGAGATAGCTTTTTGGGAGAAGATGATGGTCTGGTCTTCTGGGACAGGTGGAATGCAGCATGTTCCATCTCTGATGGATTAATTTTGTGGCATTTAGGGACCCAGCCCCACTCATACTCACACAATGGCCACAGCTTTGACCTTAGATACTGCCTATGTCCCAGTTGCCTTTTTAAAGTGCATAGGGTTGCCTTCCTTAACATGAAGTAGAATCCCCTTTTGCCCACAACATGAAGTCAACCCCTCTTTTGTCCACTAATGAAAAGCTTGTATAAATATTAAATTCATGTGTTCCCCCAGGTTCCTCTAGCTTGCTTGACTCCTTAAGAAATTGACACACATTTTCTGTGTAGATCTGTTGGACCATCTGCATGTTCCACTGTTGATATACTACTTGTCTTGAAAATTTATCAGACCAACTATTATAACACACCTCTTAGGAAAACATAAATAATTGACAATCTATGGAAAAGGTTCCAGGTTCCATGTATCTTTTTGATTCTTTCAACATGTACCATTCTGATGATGTACATCTATTTGTCTGTCTGTCTACCTGTCTATCTATCTATCTATCTGAAAGTCTTGGCCAGGAGATGACAGTAGCAGTTATTGAAAAGAAAATATGAAGAACCAACCAGAAACAAGATATTTAGAATTAATTTCATGAAAAATATTGATTTTCAGTACTTCAAAGTGAATTATTATTATTTCAGACTACATACAGATAGTTGAAAAATTATGGGACTGAAATTAAAATGGATATTTTATGTAGCTCAGAGGGCTGGTCTCAGACTTGTTATGTAGCCTAGCATAACCTTGATCTGATCCTCCTGTTCTCACTTCCCAAGTGCTGGTCCTACATATGTGTGGGACCACACCCACTTAGGAAAAATCTCTATCCATTTTAATTCAAGAGAAAAGCATAGTCATTATGCTTAATGATAAGAAATAATGCTTTGTATGTAGAAGCTGGTTACTGAATACATATGCAGATGTCTTTACATGTCTACTTTGCCAAGTTTTACATCACAGTGCAGATTAACAAGTAGTTACAGCCAGTGACTGTAGCTATCAATGCTTTTCTGCCCCAGCAGCAGCTTACTTTTAAAGCATTAGTTTATTTTTTGTTTTGAGGAATTATCTAGTGCTCTAACCTGGTGTACTGTACCTGAAACCTAAACAACATTTTATGCCATGATTTCATGCTCACATTGCAATAATGATGATTATACCTTCAGATCACTCAAAAGCATTTATAATTCAGTGCATGTCCCCCAAATGTTTCCTTTTCTGGTACACTCTGTCAGAGAATACATAGGCTAGCATTGGGAGGAAGCATTCCAGCTGCCCGGGTGGCTGCTCTGGCAGCAGGACCACTCAAGTCACATTCTATAGATAATTTTCTCTAAACTCTCAGAGTAAAGAAAGCCAAAGAAGCATGTTTTTTGTCACTATTAGTTACTTTGAAAGATGGCCACATAAGAGAAGAGCTCATATCACCTTCTTTAGATTGTAAAATATACTATTTGTCTGCACCTAGGTTTGCAGAAGAAGTAACCGCCAAGTGGCTTTGTCTCTTTGAAGGAAGTGGGATCCCATACGGCCCAATCAACAGTATGAAGGATGTGTTCTCTGAAGCTCAGGTTTGTACTTTTGAATTTTCTGGTTGCTTTAAAAAAATCCTTATTGACTTATATGAAGAAATAATAACCACTAATCTTAAGCCTAAATCCCATGATACAATATTTCACTATTCGATTAAAATTGCTTGTGGATCTAAAAAAAAATCACAATTTAGAACCAGCTAAATGTCTACACTCATACTTAAGTCTGCTAGATCCAACATACTTAAGCTACCTAAAGTTTCCAAAGTCCAGGGTATTTATTTTTCCTGAAAAAACAGAAATATAGCCAGGGGTCTGAAAAATCCCCATTTGTAGAAACAAATATGACAAGTTTCACAGTTACTATCCACTCTGATCATATTGCTGTCTCAAGATGTGAAAAGCAAGTCATACTTAGTTCTGTAGAGTTCAGACTTTTTGTGTGTTTGGTAAATTGTGTGATTTACAAGGCATAAGATAATGTGGATAGGATGTGTGCTGAGCAGGAGAAGGGGCACCTGAAAATTTCTTCTATAATAGTCTTCAAATTTAGATGCTGTCATACTATTTTTATTTTATTACTTCAGTTATTATAACAAATAGAAGCAACTTGCCATATCTCAGATTCATGTAATAACCTCAGAATATAAGGGAACTTTATATTTGTTCTGTGAAGATTTTACTATGACTCAGGTACCTTGACAGTTTCTAACATTTGCAAAATTATGGAATATTTTTCTTGAGTTCTTTATCAATATAGAGTAGAAATTTTTAATTTTAAATGAATTAGTTGAAATAGCACACACTTTTCAAAAGGAGAAAAACATTGTTGGAAAATGCATCTCTTTAGAGTGCCTTTATTTTACGTAACTGTTCACTTAAAAAAATGTGAGTGCATGTAGTTTAGTTGTTATAATAATTACTGTAGAAAAGTAAATAAATTCAGAAATTCTTTTGTATTTTATTTTCCAAGACTGTGAGGTATTATTTTCACAATAAAATTATGAGGAGTATGGGTTTGAGATTAGGGGGCCCATCTGGTGTGTGTTGTGTGAGTAATCAGGAAGGGATCCCAAGTATCAGGGATTTATGCCTGCTGGCTCCTGGGAAGAGGTAGTTATGTGCTCATCTGCCTGTGGACCAGAGGGCTTGTTTGCTCACTTTATGTCTTCAACTATCGCTTTAAGTGTGAGATGGGTAGGACTTGCAGTTTTTCTCAATTTAGGGTACATTTCACCAGAGATATCTCTTAAAAGTTTATTCATCAGCATTTTTGTTATTCCATGTGTGTTTTATAAGGAATAAAGATGCCAGAGCAAAACTAAATTTCTGTAATATTAATATTGCAAGATTATTAATTTTAGTTTTTTTATTTTTATTTTACTCACTGTCATACAGTTGCTCAAATGATGGTCTGGTCTTGATTGAGGGAGAATGTAGGCTCATCTGTATTTTCATGACTAACTGTCCCTTTTAGTCCAGTTTAATTAGAAGTGAAATTTAGTTAATTTAATAATTTTCATTGCAAATCAATTGTTTTGGACTGCAAAGATTTTTTGTTTTTAGTCTATGGCAGATATTTTTAGTCATTAGGCTATCAATTGCAGAAGAATGATATTATTTGTCAGATTCCATCTTCTCATATCACCTTCAAAGTCTTCATACACAAAATGCCCTCTTACCCACCAAAAAGTAAGTTCTAATTATCATAATCCTATTATCAGAAATGTTTAGTTATACTCTGATTGCTATTGATAATTGAATCCTAGAAGAAAAAAAATGTGTCTTCTTCATTCACGATTAGATCTTTCTTTGGAATTTAAGTATTGAAATATACATGTACAGCTTCTCTGAACTTTGTTAACACTAGGGAATAATGTACTCTTAACAGTTTAGAAATAGTCAAAGATGACTGTGAAATTTTCAAGAGGTCTTATTTGTTCCATCAAAGAAATGGATTGCCTCCTTATTCTTGTGCTTGAAATGTTTATCCACCTAAAAATTTGAATTTTGAAAGAATTGTGTAATGTGGGAAAAATTGTTGCTAAAAATGTATAAAATACTTCAGAAAAACACATTAATGTGACATGCAAAATTGTTCATTTTCAACAAGTTGGCTCATTCCTGTAATCCTATCATTCAGGAAGTTGAGGCAGACAAAATGGCATGAGCTCAAGGCCTCCCTGGACTATATGGCAAGTTCCAGGCTGACTGGGCTAAGAGTAAGACCCTATATCAAAAACAAAATAAATCAAAATATAAATGGCCATTTATAAGACTATTTCATTATTCAGTTTCCTTATTATATTTACTAGATACCAAGTGGTAGGAATTTAGTACAAATTTGGTATTCTATATGTTTCTGAAAAATAAATTCAAAATTGACTGAACTAGCAGGTATGCAATAATATTTGTAGATTGATGGATCATCAAACGAAAATTTAGTTAACTGTAGAGAGTATAGGTTTCCTAAAATTTCAAGTGGTTCCTTTGTGCCTCAGAAAAGGGGGCTGACCAGTTTTATCTTTAGGGTTAGTTGAACTGTTTTTGGTGACCTCAGGGAAATGAGTGCAAACTAGTTTCGGGATTGGTTACTATTTTTATGAACATTCTAATCTATATTTTCTTTAAATGTCAAATGTTAAAATAGAATTTTATCTCTCTGTTGACAGCATCAGATGGAATGTTAGCAGAGAGTAGGGGTACAGGGAAGACTGCATGCTAACAATGTAATTGCAGCTTTCATTATAATGGTGCCTGTGATGGTTTGAATGAGGATGTCCCTCATAGGCTCTTATGTTTGAAAGCTTAGTCTCCAGTTGCTGGAACTGTTTGGGAAGGATTGGGGGTGTGGCCTTATTGGAGCAGGTGTATCACTGGGTGTATCACTGGCTTTGAGGTTTTGAAAGACTCACACATTCTTAGCTAGGTATTTCTGCCTCATGCTTACAGATCAAGATGTAAACTCTTAGCTACTGCTCCAGAGCCATGCCTACCTGCCTACTGCTATGTTTCCCACCCTCTTAACCTGTAAGACTCAAGTAAACTCTTTATTCTATAAGTTGTGTTGGTCATGGTGCCTTACCAGAGCACCTGAAAGTATTTAAGATGGTGCCCTTTAGGTTTTATTCTTGTTACAGGTACCCTTGAGTTACCTGTGCCTATGGACAGAGTCACATTAAGTCCAGCCATGGAGATCATTCACTAAAATCATACTCTGCTACCTTCTTATAAAAATGTATCCACAAACTCTTTGCCAAAAGTATGAAGCCCTCCCTCATTTCTGATCGACATTCTTCTATAGTTTTCAACTTTCCATAGGAAGTATCTTTTTGACATATGATTTCTGTTTGAAGTCACCTCCCATTCTTTTCCTCTGATGAATTATGGAGTTTCTTGGCCCTGGGTACGAGGAACTGGCCACTTGCATTCAGATGTGGAGATGGGTCACGGTTCTGTGGCACCATGCCCCATGTGTGCTGTGCCAGCACAGCTGCTTGCTCAATTAGAAATCACTTTGGGTGAAGTACAAGGCCTGGAACAAGGCACAGGAAGGAAGTCCCTGATGAGGTGAAAAGCAGTATGTCCAACTATGGATGTGGGAAAGGGAGACAGGAAACTCAAAGAGTAGAAGAGAATTTTGGTGTGTCACTTATCAAGTGACATTCTACCTGTGGTTGGAAATTCTTTGTAGAAAATGAAAATTTACTTGATGGTAAAAACTATTTCTAACCCAACAATTTCATCACATTCCTGTTTTCCAAGAAAACTTGAATTTTTATCTCAACTGAAAAGAAACAGATGATATACTTGTCTTGGCTAAATGGAAGATTATCTACCTCTTACTCCTCTGATGAAATGATCTGATCTTTGAATGGCTCAAGTGATCCCTGTGAGTATCCACTGTTAATCACAAATACTACAGGGGCTTTTGTCTGAATGTACCAATAGTTCTGAGATGTTTTGATTGAAAATTCTTGAAGTGATAGCTTTTTTGTATTCCTCCCCCAATGACAAATTATCTGAGGGACACTCGAGGCATTGTACAGTGCAATATTGATTATCTACATGTAGATTTTAATAGCTAGCCTGTTTCCCAAGTACGTTCTTAAAAGATCTTTTTTTTTTTTTTTTAAATCAGGCCAAGATTGTGCAGTACATTAAAGGAATTCTTAAAACATTTCAACAGCTTACTAGATGACCTCAGCATGGTCCTATGAACATGCCCTTGGGAACATGTGCATAATTTGCATTGTGGTTTGCGGGTTTCCAATTCAAACAAACTTAAAAGAAAATGCAGCTTTTAATAGAAACTATTCAAATTCTTGCAAAACTAGGTATGGATTCTACTACAGAGAGGGTTTTTAAAGCACTGTTATCTATACTGAGTATCAAGGAGCACTCTAGCCTGCCTCAGGATTGTCCTGCAGACTGTTTCTGCTCATTCTTGAGTATCATCATCTTATATTGAACTGTTTAGTTAAAAACTATGAATGATTAGAGCACCCATGTTTTTCTTTGTCCTTGATGTTATGACCTGAGGGTGGGAAGAAGAGCAAAGGGTGTCACAAATGGGTGTTATTTACCATACTTTTCCATTTGTACCACACAAGTTGAATATGTCAGGTGTAAGACATCACCAGGAAGCATCACTTCTGAGAAATATTGTGAGAGAAACATCAGGATTATTGAAATATCACAGCTGGCTCTGATTTTAACTGGTGCCAAACACCTGCAGCTCTACCAGGAACCAAAACAAAGCCCCACCCTGTGGCGGCAGGCCGCCTCTTAACAGCCGTCTCTAACTTCGCATCTCATCAAACTTAATTTTAACATTTCCTACAGGAATCTTATTCTTCTTGTCCCAGAAGGCCATTACAACTCCTTTTGTAAATATTTCAAATGGGATAAATGTATCATAGAAACAAAGTGAAGTATTGAAATACTTGATGGCTGAAAACTGTTGTTTTCATCTCATCATTTGTGAAAGTCTGTGAAGTTAGTGGTTTTATTAATCTCAAAGCTAGCTCATATTCTCT